CGTGACCTTGTCCCAGATTTGCTCATGGGGGACAATCATAGCTCCATACCTGACTGGAGAAAGGACCTGGTATAGGAGTAGATTCTTATGTTAGTGGACAGAGGCCACATGTGTAGATAGAGACATTGGTTCAGACAGAGCCATGAGTGAAGACAAAGCCCACTAAGTTACTGTGCTGGGTTCTGCTAATTTTCTGAATGAGAATTTACACTCACCAAAACCCAAAGGGTCAAATTAGGATTTTTTCACAATAAATATAACCATACCCTAAAGTAAATGCACTCTTTTTGATCAAGATACATAAATGCTGAATTTGATGCCTGTACTATCACGCTCCTTGGAAACCCAATACAGGGTCATTATGGGTCAGAACCCAACTCGATGGCACTTAACAACAATAACTATCATGCAATTAAGTAACAAATCACAAGCTTGGCTCCATTGTAAGTCAGTTTTCAATGGTAACATTGTAGCGACATAGAATTTGGAGTTTTTTTCCTTGGCTTTTAAAAAAGTAAAATATATTGTGTCTTAAAATTAAAGATGTATATATGCATAAAATACATATATATAGATACAGCTCTGGTCACATAGTGGTTACGAATAGGACTGCAAACCTCAAGGCCAGCAGTTCGAAACTACCAGCTGTTACGCAGATGAGGCTTTTTGCTCTTGTAAAGATTTACAGCCTCCGAAACCCTGTACAGGGTCGCTATGAGTCGGAACTGACTCCATGGCTCATAACCAACCAACCATATTCAGATCGGCATTCATATGAATAATGCATGTAAATTTGTTGGTGTGATTATTTTAATTTGTCCATGTGAGTGTATAGAAAAAATATTTCATCCAAATAGAAAACAGTTAAAACTTAAGGTCCATTCATAGAGAATTACTGGAGACTGCAACTGCTAAACCTGGCATTTTAAAAAGAAATGGTTCTTATCCAGAGATGCTGCAACACCAGAGATAGAGGCAGAGAAGAGAACATGGAGAGATAGAGCAGCTGAGGACTCTAGACCCATGGAAAGAGAAAGACTGCTAGCGGCCAGGAGGCAGGCTGGCAGAACGTGCCCTTTGGTTGTTTAAATGATTATATATTCCTGAGTGTTTTGGTGTACATCAACACCCCCCCCCCAAAAAAAAAAAAAAACAAAAAAAAAACCAGAAGGAATAGAAGCAAATACTGTTGAATGATGGTGCACGGAGATTGTAATCATTGCAATAAAACAATGAGTGTAAAACTGATGTTCTTCCATGTAAACTATCACTCAATTCACAACAAAAACTTGAAAAAGAAAGAAATGGTTGTTTTCTGGCAAGTAAATGAGCATTGGAAAACCTGGACCTTCTATTTTACACACACACACTCCTACATATTACATAAACTCATACTCACAAACACTGACATGCAGGGTTGTGGAACCTAGTTCTTCATTCTCCATCCTCCTAGTTCCAAATCTTCATCTCCCTATAATGTGCACCAGCCTGCACTCTCCCTCCAGGCTAGCAGTCTCCTCAATGTGTGGTCCTGGGCTCTTAATGAGCTCTTATGAATGAGGGAAGGACCCTGCTAAATTGCTGTCCATGCCATTCCAGAAACCACTGTAAAGTCAGATGGCTTTAGTTGTATCTCTAACCAATGTTGACCTGTAATTCCCATTCTTCCCCATCACTCCACTAAACTACTGCCAACCTTATCCTATCTTTTGAAAAAAAACAAACTAAATAAGCCACAATTCTTTACTTATATTAAGTAAGCTTGGTCTTGAGCCCCATGTCTCCTCACAGATGGGAAAACCCAAATCCCATGGTGAGTGGACCCCAGGTCAGACTCAGGCCCCAGACTGACCCTGATACTTATCTCTATAGAACAGCCATCTCAGCTTCGTGGCTGGCACATGCATTTGATTAGACATCTGCAGTTTGCACAGAGCCTGGCCAGGACAGCCCATCTCTGTTGCATTTGGCACAGCTGTGTGACTCAGGGCCAGTCGTGGTCACTCACATATTTGGCTGACTGTGCTATCAGCCGGGACCTCCGTGTGCTCTGTCCTAGGCCCGCACACAGACTTCCTTCACAAAATGGTGACTGGGTCCTGAAAGTCAGCAAAGCTGGAACATTTCTTTAAACAGACTAAGGGCCACTCTCCCTGCACTCCCATTATTGAGCTGGTCACTGAGGCCAGAAGGACCCTCTTCCCCAAGCCACTATCTCTTCAATTGTGATGAATGAATAGTTGGAAGTGACTATAAAGGCATATCAAGTACCTTGCACAGAGAAGGGTAAATAGCACAGGTGATATTGGTCAACAAGTGCCGGCAAAGTTGGTTTCTGGAAGAACATACTGCCTTCAGGGCTTCCATCTCCCAAAAGTCAGGGATGTACTTGGGTGCTAATTTGTCACTGTGCTTTTGAGCTTTTATTTTTAACCCACTCACAGAAGAAGGCACTCTCAGTTTAGGGCAGTTTACATTGTCAGCCCCATGGAGGCCACATATATCAGTCCCTAGTGTCCTGTACTCCCATCAGGAAATGAGACTTGCCTTAGAACCATTAGCTACTCATCAAGAAAAAGCTTTAATCTCATCACTACAACATGTAAAGAGTGTCTTTAGTCCAGAGTAACTCTAGAAGAAGGGAAGTTTGAGGCAAAGTACCAGGAAATATTTTGTTGCTAGATTGGGGAAGTGTCCCACAGGAAGTGGGAGACAGCTGCGAGAGTTGCTCCCAGCCCCAGCCTCCAGCTAGAGAGCAGCCCCTTGGTCTATTTCCCCAATTCCTTTCTGAGCACAGTAGTTGCAAGATGTTTATCACTGCCTCCACTAACACAGCAGTAAGAGAGATTTAAGTATTTTTCTTATGCAAAAACAGAATTCAGTTATCAAAGTATCTTTTCATTTATCATAATGGCAGGGCTTATAGAGCAGTCCTTTGGTTTTGGGGTTTTTTTTAATGTGTGTCTTCTTTTTACCAATGTTGTTCTCACCATTTGAGTAGTAGAAGGTCATGTCCTGGGGAAAGGATCTTCGACTGGGCTCTTTGGTGCTGTGTTGTTGGGAACAGAACGTCCAGACTAGCTCTGTTTGCTTTAACCAGCATGCCTTTATCACTGCAGAGTTATGAAGTAAAGAGTGTCCTCAGAAAGGAGGTGGGGCCGTTAAACTGCTTTGTCCGGTCCATAGCCAGCTACCCAATGTACCCTGTTGAACTGGAGGAAATCCAACTTCTGAGTGCACCCTAAGCATCTACACCCTTTGCAGTGTGACTCTAAGTGGAATTGATGGTGGTGGTGTGGTTATTTGATAACAGTGAATGGAGTGAACATACTTTACGATCTTGAAATAGAGTTTACTTTGATTTTTCTGGGGCAAATGTTAGTACAATGGCTATGTGAACTGTAAATACTTTCCCACAATTTATATTTTTATTACCTTTTTAAAAAATGTTATTACCTTCCCGAGGTCATCTACAAACTTAAGACCAAAGCTTAAGTGTGATGTCTTCATTTGTCAATATTATTAGAAAAATGGTTCTTTAGTTATAATTCAAACATGTTCAAAATTTTACCATGATTCATCACGTTTTTCTTTTAGTGTTTTAAATATCTCCCTAGAAAATTCTCCCAGAAAGTTTAAACCTTTGGCCCATATTTTATTATTACTGTTCTACAAAAAAATGTTCAACCTAAGCACTTTTCAGTTCAATTATTTTTGGGAAAATGTACTAGGAACTATGTCAGAGGTGAAACTGTTACCCATAAAGTTTAGATAAGTTAACCAGTGTGATTACAACCATAATGAGTAGAGATAAGGATAGTTCACTAACCAACATGCCTGTTTAATCACACCGTGTAACGTGCAGAGAGCAAAGATTACACAGGTTCAAGTAGTCATTGTTGTGAACTATATACTAAACGAAGGACAATCCCTTATTCAAATATAGATAAAGATAAGCTTATCTTTTGCTTTGTTGGCAGGGATTTAAATTGGCATAAAACTATGAATTAGCTTTGGACACTACAGATTTTTCCATGTGTTTCCTTATGGTGATATAATCATGACAGTCCATAGTTAATTACCTAACTAAACGTAGACAGCAACTTAGAGCAAGAAAAGGTGTCTGGTACCAACCTGGAGCGAAAGACATTGTTAGGATAAGTCTTGAAACATCAAACCGGTTTTCAGTAGCTCTGTGGCTGCCTTTTCACTGATGCCATGACTATTCTGTATTTGTATTCACTGTGGAAATCTACTTGTAGTTGTCCCTAATACAGGAAAGTGAAAGCAAAGCTTCTTGAAAGCCAAAAAAAAAAAAAAAAAAATCTGTAAACAGACTTCTCTAATAACTGAGCCCTGCTTTGCCCCTCGTCCCTGAGGAAGGAGGACTATATCTACCGCGGGGGGCGAGTGAGTTTGGCGCACCTCCCACCACCACCACCACCACCAGAAAGCGCTCCATTATCCTGCGTTTACAGCCTCGCTTTACCGACCAAGCAAGTTCAAGTGAAAATTCAGAGTCAGCCTTTAGCATGTCCTGTGTTCAAACCGGACTTCTCTTCTGAGAAGATCTGCTCCCGCATGGGGACACACTCCTTGTCCCGTGACGGGGGATGGACCCTTCGTTTATTAACTGGATCCCGGGCCACCTGCGTGCGGTGTCACTGCGAACACAGGAGGCAGAGCTGGTTTTTAAATGCTTTATTCTTACAAATATTGTAAAAATTAATATAAAAAGGTGAGCATGCTCAGTCTTTCCCTTTCAGCTACAATATAAAGGGTTTGTTTACGACGTCACGTTGACAAATGTACCTTAGCTGCATCGATAGGAGTAAGATGTAGAAAAAAGCCACCATTATAAAAATAATTTACGGGGAAATTAACCAGTCCTAGCTCTGGCGCAGTTCCGGGCGGTAAGGGCCGGCGGGCTCTGGACCGCGCCCCGCCTGTCGGGCTGAGGTATGGGTCGTTGGTGAGTCTTTGTGGCCGGCCGGCCGGCGTCACCGGCCATCATTGGCCCCGGCCGAGAGGAAGGGCGCGCCGGGCAGCTGCTTGAAGAACTGCCGCAGGCCGGCCAGGTCCCGCGTGAGCTGCTCCACGCGCCGCTGCAGTTTTTCGTTCTCGGCGGACAGCTCCACCAGCTTCTGCTGCATCTCCTGATTGCGCCGCTTGGCCTTATCGCGGCTCTTGCGCACCGCTATGTTGTTGCGCTCGCGCCGTTGCCGGTACTCCGGACTGCCACGGTCAGGACCCCTCTTGCCGGCGCCCTTGTCGCGGGCTGGCGCGGGAGGCCCGGGGCTGCCTCGCTGCGGCTCGGGGGACGCGGGCGGTGTAGGTTGCGCGGCCGCTACCAGGCTCACGACGGTCTGCGCGCACGCGGCCACCTGCGCGGGCAACAGCGAGCCAGGTGCGTCGCCGTCGCTCCAGTCTGGCTCGCGCTTGAGCGGGCGCGCGGCTGGGCCCGGGGGTCGCGCGGGGCCGCCGGGCAGCAGCTCAAGGCCGCCTGCGGTCGCCAGGCCGCTTGCCTTGTGGTTACTGTTGAAGAGGTCGGCGAAGAGCTCGTCGTGGCACAACTCCAGAGTGGGCACGGCAGCCATGGAGTCGATGTAGGCGCTGAAGTCGATGGCGCTTTCGTCGTCGTACATGGCGGGTGCGGCGGCGCCTAACTCAGCAAGGCCTCCCGGCTCAGCAACACGGCCCGGCTTGCCCGAGCGGCCCGCCTCGTAGAAAGCCGCAGGCTCCGCAGGCCAGGGCGCACCGCGCGCCGGGCCGTCCAGGCTGAAGAGCGCGGCGCTCATGGCGGCGTGAGGCCCGGCTCTGCCGTCGGGCGGCGGTTGTCACCTCGCTTAGTCGGGCCGGCCCCGCGCCCTTTTCTACCCCGAGCGACGCGCAGGCCCCGCCCCGGCCCCGCGGGGGCGCGCCGGGCCCCGGGGACGGGCAGGCGGGAGGAGGGCCGGGAAGGGGCGGAGCCCCTGGGTCCCAGAAGCCCCTACCCCACACTCCCACCCCACCTCTCCAGTGTCTCCGGACCGCTGCACAGAGTTTCCCTAGTCTCGTCTTCCTCGCAACCCCTACACAGGTGCCCTCTGTCAGCCCCCTGCCCCTTCATGGGATCTGGACCTCTGCCTGGGCGCTCGAGGGGAGGTGTCGCTGACTCTCTCTGTACCCGCCCCGACCGGGAAGGTCCCACCCTCCGCCCCGTCGGGGTGGGAGCCTCCCCGAGGCTTGGCGGACGGAGAAGATTCCAAACAACTCGGGTTGGTTCCCGCGGCCCGGAACGCGGGGAGGGGCGCCGGAGGAGCCGCAACCCCACAGGAGTTCCCGCTGCGGGCGCTCAGCCACCAAAGTTTGTTGGAGACCCAGTTGCACCCGCTCACAGGTCTGAGTCCGCTCAGCCCTGGGCGCTTCTGGGAATACGGAGCCTGACCTAACCGTCTTCCCCGGCGTCCCGGGTCCAGCAGGACCTGCTGCTGACCGAGAGCAAAGGGGCGGAGGAGGGTCTTTGCTGCCGCCATCGGAGAGTGCGATCGTACTCCAGCGCCAGGGGCCCCGAGTCTTTCAGGTGTACTTAAGTAGTGCCACCTTGCGGTTGTAGATATTTTAGAACCTTAAATTTAGGAGTCCTGGTGTGGCGCTGCAGGATAAATGCACTGGACCTCAAAGTCGGTTTGAACCGCAAAATCTACGATAACAACTTTCGTCCAGGGCATTTTCCCCCTACTAAATCTGGTGTGTAGAGTCCTGGTGTGGCGCTGTGGGTTATTGCGTCAGACTGAAAAGCTGTTTGAACTGCAAGGTCGTCAGTTCAAGCTCAACAGCTGCTCCTCGGAAACCTATACAGGGTCGCTATGGGTCGGAACCGACTCTACGGCACTTAACAACAACAACAAAATCTGGTATGGAGTCCTGGGGTGGCGCTGTAAAATAAGCACCGGACGGCCAGTTCGGTCAGCGGCTCTAACTCAACACCCGCTCCTCGGAAGCCCTATACAAGGGGTCACTATGAGTCTAAACCAACTTGGTAGCACTTAACAACAGCAAATCTTGGTGCTGGAGCAAAATGAGGCGTTGTGCGTAAAGATTTACAGCCTCAGAAACCCTATACAGGGTCACTGTTGGCATGCAGCAGCAGCAAATTCTGGTGTGTAGGATAAGCACTGGACTTCTATCCACAAGGTCAGCAGTTCAAACCCACCAGCCTCTCTTCACTATGAGTCCAACCGACTCAACAGTACTTAACATAATTTACAGGAAGGATTCCTGGTCAAGTGGTTAAATCATCCGATGCTAGTGCTAATGCAAAGGTGACTGGTTTGAATCCCCCAGCTGTTTGTTGGTAGAAACATGTGTCAATCTGTTTGGATAAAAGACTGTAACCTTGAAACCTGTAGGTCAGCTCTGCTCAGCTCTATAGGGCCCTATCAGTCGCAATTCAACTCAACAGCGGTGAGTTCATCCCCAAAAGTAGTTCTCTTAAAAAATTAGTTCTTTTAGCGAGAAAGGTAAGAAATATAATGTGCAGTAGCTCTGCTAAGTTGCTTGCTCTTCATTTTAACATATCAAGAGATTGAATCAGTATGGACTTTGTTCCTCAAATTTCCTACAGTTTTGAGCAGGCATTTTTGGTCAGTTTCATTTATGAAATCATTGCCCTACACAGGGTTCAGCCTCCAGCTCACTTCTGAGATTTCTCCCTCAGCCATCACGCTCAGTGCAAACACAGAACCCTCCATGAACATCTGTGCAGTTGTCTGCAGATGATCCAGATGTATTTTCTAATGAGACATTGGGATATTTAATAGGTTTTTCTGTTTTTTCTAATAGTGGTTTGGGTGAAATTTTACAGAGCAAATTGATTTTCCACTCAATTCATACATAATTTGTTTTGTGATATTGATTGCAAGCAAGTCCCACAATGTTCTGTCCACTTCCTCTCAGTGTTTACCATTTCCCTTCATCCTTTCTTATCCATTCCTGCCTTCTGCACTTTGTTGTTGTTAAGTGTCATCAAGTCGGCTCCAACTCAGACAGACCCTGTTTAGGATATCCAAGGAACAGCTGGGAGGTTTGAACCACCAACCTTGTATTTAGTGATCCAGTGCTTATCCAGTACCACACCAGGACTCATGCCCTGGGCAAATACTGCCCTTTTGATCTCCTATGGTTGATCTAATGATTGCTTATGTTTCTGGTATTACTACTATTCACCTTATAGACCTATCATTTGGCTGAAAGGTATCTAAGGGCTATAATCTCTGGGGTTCCACCAGTCTCTAGCAGACCAGTTAGCCTGGTCTTTTAATATGATTTTGAGTTTTGTTTCACATTTCTCACCCAGTCTATCCAGGGCCTATTAATCCCTTTCAGAGAGGTTAGTAATGGTAGTCACGTACCATCTAGTTCTTCTAGTCTTAGAGTCGTGGAGACTGCAGTTCACATGATCCACTGGTCCCTTGAACTAATTGTTTCTTTGCCTCTTTTATTTTCTTCACTTTTCTCTGCTCCAGACTGGGAGAGATAAATAGTTGCACCTGAGATGGCCACTCACAAACTTTTAAGCACCCATATTCAACTCACCAAATTAGAATATAGAACTATGTTGTACATGTTGATTTCAGTGTCCCCCTACACTATGGTCTTCAAGTCCAGTGACTCATTCCCTCAAGGTGCTTGGTTATGGCTAAGACTTTTTTATAACTTTGCCCTCTGTATACTCTGCTGTATTTATGAATATGGTTTTCATCACATACAAATACATGTAGAAAAATCCTCTACCAAACCTACGTGTATTTGTGAGTGTAGTCCCATTTGTATCTCACCCCATTACACCTTGAGTGTCTATTAATGTATACACTCATAGCTTACTATTATCTATGTTATTGCAGGATTGTGTTTGTAATAGTATTTACCTATGTTGCCTTTTACTCTTGTGTTCTTCCACATGTCTTTCTTTGCCTGTATTGTTTTGTGCTGACTTCCCTCCTAATGTATATTGCGTATCCCTTCACCAAGTTAGTATAAGTCTAACTTCTAGTTAGTAATTTACCCTCCCTTCCTCTCCTATTCCTGGTAACCTTAAAAGAATGATTTTTGTTGTGTGTGTGTAAACTTTTTCTTGACTTTTTATAGTAGTGGACTCATGTACTATTTCTTCTTTTGTGATTAGCTAATTTTATTCAATATAACGTCACCTAGAATCATCCAGGTTATGAGGTGTTTTGCAGATTCATCATTCTTCTTCTTTTTTTTTTTATTCCATTGTGTGTATGTGCCATAGTTTGTTTATCCATTCATCCATTGATGCTCTTGACTATTGTGGATAATTCTGTGATGAACAGGGGTGTGCATGTATCTGTTTGCCTCGCAGCTCTTATTCTTTGGCTATGTACCTAGTAGTAGGATTGCTGGATCATATGATATTTATTTCCAGCATTTTAAGGAAATGCATACTGTTTTCCACAGTGGTTTCACCATTTTACAGTCCCCCCAGTAGTGTAGGAGGCTTACATCTTCTGCACACCCTTGCCAGCATTTGTTGTTTTCTGCCTTTTTAAAATTTTGCTATTAAAGGAGTCCTGGTAGCACTATAGATTAGGTGTTGAATTGTTAATCACAAGGTTGGCAGTTCAAACCCACCAGCCGCTCTATGGGAGAAAGATTTAGTCTCAGAAACTCTATATAAGGTTGCTCTGAGTTGGAATCCGTTCTATGGCAATAGGTTATTTTGGTATTAATGTCGTTGTTGTTATTAAGTACTGTATAGGGTTGCTGAGGGGCAGCTGGTGGGTTTGAACTGCCAACCTTGTGGTTCTCAGGCCAGTGCCCATCCGACAATGCTATACCAGGTTTATATCTCAATGTTGTTTTCATCTGGTGTGGTGCTGGAGGGTCAGCACTGGCCTACAAACTACACGTTTGGCAGTTCAAACCCACCAGTTGCTCCTCAGAAACCCTACAGAAGGTCCCTATAAGTCAAAACCAACTCAACGGTGCTTAATAATAACAATGGCTAATAATTGTGAGCATTTCTTCATGTGAATGTCTTCTCTGGGGAAGTGTCTGTTAGTGTACTCTGACCATTTTTTTAATTGGATTATTTCTCTTCTTGTTCTTGAGATGTTTTAAGTTTTCTATAAATTTTAGAGATTGGTCCTTTATCCAAGATGTCATCGCCAATCTGTAGGCTCTTTTTTTGCTCTTTTGGTGAAGTCTTCTGATGCACACAAATAATTTGATTCTTAGGAAGTCCTAGTCATTTAGTTTGTCTTCTGCTGTTGGTGCAATTTTAGTGATATTTCATAGTGTATTTATGCCATGTATTAAAACCCCTAACTTTGCTCCTAGTTTTTCTTCAGTGATCTTTATAGTTTTTTTGTTTTATGCTTAGGTCTTGTTGTTGTTAGGTGCTATCGAGTCGGTACCAACTCATAGTGAATTTCTGCACAGCAGAACAAAACACTGCCCATTCCTGGGCCAACCTCACTACTGTTGCCACGCTTGAGTCCATCGATGCTGCCACTTGGCCAATCCATCTCGCTGGGGGTCTTCCTCTTTTTCTCTGACCCTTGACCTTACCAAATACGATATCCTTCTCCAGTGACTGGTCCCTCCT